TTGTTTATAATTGTTATTTATAATTTGTACAATTAACCTCCCTGTGGTTCGACCCCGGTCTTGCCGGGTTATTTATTACTTCGACACTCCTGCACTTGGGAGAAGACATCAATCTTTTAGTCGTGTCAAGTTTTTGGCGCCGTTGCCGGGGAGGTAAGTTCTTGTATAAATTATAGTATTTATTTTATTTTCTCTTTTCACTTTTCTTGTATATAACTTTGTTTCTTTTCTTTTGTTTCTTTTTATTTTGTTTTCTTCCTCCTTCTTTTGCTTTCTTCTTCTTCTTTTTTTTATTTTATTCCTGCACGTGCATGAGAGTGTGGTCACGTACATCAAGTGGTAGACTTTGTAGGGTATCCTCATCATTTTCAGAAAATATGGCCGAAGAAGATAATCAATCACTTCAAAATGAGAATAATGAGAATAACCGTGCTAGAACACTTAGAGACCACATGAATCCCACAAGAACAAGTGCACCATCATGCATAGTTTTTCCTCCTGATGCATCTCATTTTAATTTTAAACCAGGTATTATTCAACTTTTACCTTCTTTTCATGGTTTAGAATTGGAAAATCCATACTTGCATTTAAGGGAATTTGAGGAGGTGTGCAACACATATAATAACTTAAATTGTAGCATGAACACCATTAGATTAAAGCTTTTTCCTTTTTCATTAAAAGATAAAGCTAAAACATGGCTACAAAATTTAAGACCAGGATCCATTCGTGCTTGGGATGAAATCCAACAATAATTTTAAAAAAAGTTTTTCACATCTCACAAAACAAACTCTTTCAAAAGACAAATCACCACTTTCACTCAAAAACCAGGAGAAACATTTTACCAATGTTGGGATAGGTATCGAGACTTGCTTAGTACTTGCCCTCATCATGGTTTTGAAACATGGAGATTGGTTTCACATTTCTATGAAGGGTTAACACCTAAAGATAGGCAAATGGTTGAATTGATGTGCAATGGAACTTTTAAAGATAAAGACCCTAATGAAACAACGAAATACTTAGACTTATTTGCTGAAAATGCTCAAAATTGGGACACCACGGGTACATATGAGGCACCGAGTAAAACTCAACCTCATACATCTAGTGGAGGTATGTACAACCTTAGGGAAGATCATGACCTTCAAGCCAAATTTGCATCTTTAGCTAGAAAAGTTGAGGCACTAGAATTGAAAAAGAGTGGTCAATACCATTAGTGGATCTTCTAACCTTGACATTTGCTGTTATCATTGTTTAATCCTTAATCTTCCATCTCAAAGTTCTGGTCAACTTCTTCTTCTTCTTTATTATTGTTATTACTACTACTGCTACAATTATTATTATTATTATTATACTATTAGGAAGGTTTCCATGAACAATCCTATGCTTTAAATAGTTTTTAAAGACCCAATACCACAACCCATACTCCCAAACATACAACCCTGGTTGGAGGAATCACCCAAATTTCAGTTGGAAGAGTGAGAACAACAATGCACAAACTTCACAACCACCGTTTCAAGCACACCATAATTTCCAAAATTCTCATGGATATGCACCTCCTTATGCTCCACCTCCTACAAGAAATTTTGAGGAAACTTTGTATGCATTCATTGAAAAGCAAGAGACAATCAACACTCAACTTGCTCAAAGCATAACAGATTTTAAAGAAACTCTTGCAAAATTCACATCTGCTCTCAATTTTCAAGAGAAAGGTAAGTTTCCATCTCAACTACAGCAAAATCCCAAGGGGCAATACAATGCAAATGCAAGTAGTTATGGAAGTCAACACATGGATCAAGTCAAATCAGTCATCACTTTTTGTAGTGGTATAAGGTTATTCAAAAACCAACTTGAACCTTGTGAGAAAGATGATGAGTCAATCTTTTAGGATAAGGAAGGGGTTGAATCTGAACATTGTAAAGAAAAGATTGATTCCCTGTTAGCATTTTTACTTTCTCATACCATGACCAATCAGGAAAAAATCAAGAATGAAAAAGGCATCGAAAATATTGATGCGGATCTTTTATCAAAAGTGACAACAGATTTGACACCCGACATCACACCAATCAATGATTACTTTCTTGATGAATCTCTACTTTCTTTTAGTTCAATGCCTTGGTTTGCTAAAAATATCAATTTTCTTGCTTCAGGATTTTTGCCAGCTCATTGGAGTACCAAAGACAAAAGAAAATTTTTGAGCAACGTGTAAAAATTTTATTAGGATGACCCTTACTTATTCAATTGTTGTCCTGATTAATATTTCAAAGATGCATTTATGAAAATGAGGTAAGTAATGTCATTAAATTTTGTCACT